AACACCACTTTGAGCTCACAGGCCTGCGCCCCTCTGGCGCACCGTCTACGAATGAAAACGTCCCCGTGCCCAAGTGCCCTTGAAACTCTTCCCCCATGGCCTGTTCCCACCCCTCTCTGTAAACAGACGTGGCAACGCCGGCTACAGTCATGGGTGGGGCTTCTACATCACTCGGACGCTTGCCTATGGGGGATTCACTTAGCTCGTGGGACGCCAGAGCCGTCTCGAAGGCGTCTGGCGAGTTGAGCATGAGGTCCACCGTACCCAGCAGGAAATCCTCCGCCTCTTGGCGCGCAGCGTGGGCCTCCTGCGCGCGCTCGGACAGCAACTCTCGCACCACCCTCGCCTCTAGCCCCTCCGCCACGTGAAGTACTGCCGAGAGCATCCAGCGGGTGAACTCCTCCGTGCTGCTGTCGGGCAGGCTCGCCACCGAGGCGAGCAGGGCTTCGGCACTTGTCGGCGACGGGGGCGACTCGTGCCTTGGGTTTCGGCGAGGGTTCTCCATAGTGCGGCGGCTGGTGAGTTCCTTCGGCTTGTCGAAGCGGGCGAGCCGCCGGGCCTCTGGCCCACAGAGCGCCGGGGGATCCGTTTCGCTGTCGCTGCCACTGCTGCTGTCGCTGCCGCCGTCATCGCCGCTGCTACCACCGCTGCTACTGTCGCTGCCGCTGCCGCCTCTACCGCGGCTGCTGCTGCTGCTGTCGACGCCGCTGTCGCCGCTACCGCGGCTACCGCGGCTACCGCGGCTGCTGCTGCGGCGGTCGTCCTCGCCGCCGCCCACATCGGCCGTGCCGGTCGACGTGGTAGATGGGGCGACGCTCGCGCCCTCCCTGCTCGAGGGGGCGCCATTGCCAGCGTCGCCCGCGCCCGACTCCTGGGACGCAGCCGGTGGCGCCGCCGGCGCTACGCGCGCGGGCGACCCCGCGGGCCCGGGGCTGCCGTCGTGCCAAGGTTGAAACCTGGTGCTCCATCCACAGGTTCTCTCTCTGCCCTCCCTCCACCTTGGCTCGACGCGCCCTCCCCAACCTCGTCCTCCTCAGTCGCGAATTCCTCTTCCTCCTCT